GTGAAAATGTCCGGTCGTTCAAAACCAACTCCGTTCGAGTTACTATTGCCTTTTTTTCCGGTGTGGATTTGATACCGAATCCGAATATAATTCAATGTCAAAATCTAGTACATTTCATGTGCATTGATCAAGTCTAATTCGATTTGTAGTCCACTTGTAACGTCCGGTGTCTTTCATCATCATATACTTCCTTCATTAGTTTGGTAATACCGCATATTAAGCTATACTTAGGTGCCAAATAAACGGGGGGGGGGCTAATAAATGCAGGTTCTGGATTTTTCTCAGTAATCAATAAGTAGGAAAATCATTTAAGATCTAAAAGTGAAAAATTAATAAACAAGGTGACCGTAAGAAGTTTTGTTGTCTTCACCTTTATTGCCATGTTCACGACGTTTCGGCCGTTGTACGCTCCGGCATTCTTCAAGTGATATGCGTCGAAATTTACTGAAATCGCCAATGTATCAACAATTGATAATACTTTCATCTCACATGAATTTCATCTAGTGTATGTCATCAGCATAATGAATAAAAAATGGATTTTAACGTTGTCAAGAAAAATTAACTAAGATTTCTGCAACAATTCCGTATTCTTTATATTTAATCAATATATATTATCACTTTAAACCTTCTTTTAGTGTATACTCGAATTTGAAAAGACGGTCCATTTATTTATTAAACAGCATATATATTCATTTTCGTCTACAAGCAAAGAATGTTCGAATAAACGGAACGTCTAATCAAATACAGTATCAAGTAAAAATTAAGCATGAAATGAAAAAATCTTTAGAAAACACACACAATATATATATATATATATATATATATATATATATATATATATATATATATATATATATATATACACACACATATGTGTGTGTGTAAAAGATAGTATTTTAGAGAGCAATTCGTTTAGACATATATCCACTAAAAATAAGGTGTGATGTGATAAAAAACCTGTCGGTTTAATAAAAAAATCCATTACTTTTTACACACACACACACACACACACACACACACACACACAGAGCTATATACACTGCGTGCCAAATTATTATCGAGATAACGTTTTTTCTAATATTTCAAAAACCATCCAATCAATTCACACAAAATTTTCACACAATGTGGCGACATGGACTTGCGCAATAACTGAAATTTTCATACTGATCTGCGCAACGTAAACAAACTGGCGCTATATTTGTTATCAGCACGGCGATTTGAGCGTGCCAAATTATTAGAATTGTTTAGTAAAATTCCCAGAATTGTGCAAACAAAACGTTTATTAATGTTGCACGTAAATGTTTATGATCAAAAGAAGCTAATAAATACGATAATCAAACAAATAATAACAGATACAAACAAAGAATCAGTTTTAAACAAATTAATAGGGAATGTGCTTTCACTGTTTTGAAATTACTTGAAGAAGTCGACGATCCATAAAATTTGTTAATTGTAGGATGTCATCTGCTCTAATGCCGCGAGATATGTCACACAACTCAGCGTTGCTCCTAAATTGTCGTCCGTTGGCGTACAGTCTTCGCTTCATGATGCTCCAAAGGTTTTCGAATGGGTTCAAATCCGGAGAATTTGCTGGCCACTTCATTTTTCGAGGTCCATCAAAGCCTAATTGTTTCAAATATTCAGTGGTCTTGTGAGCAGCGTGTGAGGGAGCATTATCTTGCATAAAAACAATGGCCCTTCTGAAGGCAACTCTTTGCCTTTTCATCCACAGTTCAAGATGTTCCTTCATAAACGCTATGTATGCATCAGCAGTCATTTTGCCGCCATGTGGTACTCTCCATGGACCCACTAATGTTTTTCCAATAATACCACCCCAGATTATTATGCCCCCACCGCCTTGTTGGCGTCTCAAACGCTGATGGCGATTCTCTCCGTTCATTACCCAGCCTTTCCACCATCTATCTGGCCCATCAAGTGTTGCTCGAGTTTCGTCTGTGAACAAAATTTAGAGAAGTCAATCTTCATATTGTCCTCGGCTCATTTCAATCGATTTTGAATGTGATTTCTCGTCAACGGAGGCTTCGATACAGGTTTGACTGTTGTTGCTATTTCCCTCAGATACCGACACCGAGTACTTTTAGACACAGTAGGATCCCCAATGCGACTGAAAAGCTCTTGACTGGTGAGTCCAGGGTTCTTTGTGGCCTCTTATTTAAGTCGTGACATTTGAAGACATGAAATAATCCTCAGCTTGCCTTTATCTGCCCTTTTGCGTACTTGTGTAGGGTTGGCAGTAAACTTTTTCACTGTTTGATGACACCTCCCTATCATTTTAGAAATTTCTAGGGTAGATTTACCTTATGAGAGTTCTGGGGTGATAGTTTTCTTTTCAGCATCACTTAAACTGCTTTTACGGCCCATCCTTTCACTAAATTCTTACATTTTTCTAATAATTTGGCACGCTCAAATCACTGTGCTGATAACAAATATGGCGCTAGATTGTTTACATTGCACAGATCAGTACGAAAATTTCAATGATTGCGCAGGTCCGTGTTGCCAACATTATGTGAAAATTTTGTGTGAATTGATTGGATGGTTTTTGAAATATTAGAAAAACGTTATTTCGATAATAATTTGGCACGCAGTGTATATATATATTCCAACTTTTCCGTTACGAATAGAAATAGGAAAATGTAGATTTTTCTTGAACTTATTTTTCAACCCCACGAGCTTATGACGGCCTCATTTTTTATTATCGTACTTTTTGAAAAACAGGTGAACGTTTAAGCTTGTAGTTAATTTTTATTAAATACTATTTGATTACTACCCATAATTGCGGTTCGACCATTTGAGTTCTTCTAAGGGAGACAACTATGATTGCCATCACAACAGACACCATGAATAACTTTCCGAACATCTTTTATGTTTAAGATACACCAGTTTATTGCATTAAACCCCAATTATTAAGACCCTACCTTTTTGTATCTGTCTATATTTCTGAGATTAGGTATTATGTACAATATTTACATTATTCGGACTATTGTCCTAATATTTGTCGCCATATTTATTACAAAGTTTCGGCTGTTGTACGCTCTGGCCATCTTCAGGTGGTTGGTCGAACTTAACCCTTTATTTCGGTCACTGGGGTAGACTGTTCTAGTTCGACGTGCCACGTTTAATGGATGTCAGTTATCAGTTATCTCCTGTTGATTTCCCTCTGAAAGTTCTTCGGTGAGCGAAATAAAAAGTTAAGTTCGACATTCCAACCACCTGATGAAGGCCGGAGCGTACAACGGCCGAAACGTTGTAATAAATATGGCGACAAAGATTAGGACAATAGTCTGAATAATGTAAATACATTTCCTTTTTATTAAGCACCTAAGAGTAATAACATTTGAGACATGACGAAGCAAGTCTTAGAAATAAAAAAAAAATGAATAATTGACTAAAAAGCCAATTCACCCCAAGCAAGGCAATAATGCCTCTAAGATGCAAGTGACAATTGGGAGTGAAAGAGAATGAGAAGATTTTAGAAAGAACTCGAAACACAATCCTAAACGTAAATCAAGGGATAAACCTCTACTCCTGTCCAAAAGATCGGGGAGGCGTGTGAGTTTGACGATAGGCGAACTTATCCACTCCAGTTGGAGAAAAAATAAATAACAAATGAATAGTAAATACTGTTTCAGATTTTAGGCAGAACGTCAGCAATATAAATCTGAAGTAGACTTTAGAGGGACGGAAAACCCAATTCTAAACAGGAAATAAGAGAAAAACCTCTATTCCTATTCAAAAGACCAGAGCCTTTTCCATGATTTCTTTGTTTGGTTTGCTTTACGGTATATCAACCTCAATTGGTTATTTAATGCCGACAAGATTTTTATTGCTGGTATTTTTTAATGTATTGCTGGTAACAATTTTTCCCAAAAATGTGTTGCTTGTATTAAAACTTATTTTCATAGTGTTTTGACCCCAGTTTGGGTATTAACTACTTGCCTATAGCTAAGACCCTAACGGGTGCTACCACCCCAGTTCAGTGTTGACCTTGGAACACCAGCAATTAAGAGGTGGTTCCACGCTCTTCAAAACCTCCTGATCAGAGGCCTTGCTGCCGGATGTAGTTTATCGTCATACCCAGGATGGGATTTCTTGATGTTAGCTTATTTATCTTTACTGTTATTATATCATTTTATCTTTTTTTCTATTTCTTGTGGGGGTAATTTCATCATCTTTCTTCCTGTGCATGTCACGTCCGGTCACTTTTTAATATGTTCCGCAATACAATTTTACGATTGCTTTCTTTTTCCTTAGGGTTGTTTGATATTCTTTGTTTATTGTTTTCTTTTTGTTGTTATTTCTTTCTTTTTTCTTTTCTTTAACTTTCGTCATCATTCGAATTATAATAATTAAAGACGTAAAATTCATTTAGGGATTTTAAAACTTATGATTAAAGGAGTGATGAAATGCAATGTAACATCAGTACTCTTATATGGCATTGAATGCTTAATAATTTCTTTGTAGAAGATTTCAAAGAAGAGAAATGCGGTGCCGAGAATAACATGACCGGAACATTTCAGTAATGTGGAAGTTTTAAGGAAAACGGAAACATAAATATGAGGTTCATATTTAGAATCAGAAACAGACAGTTTAAATTTCTAGGATACGCCATGAAGAAAGAAGACTTCAAAAATGTGTCTCTGATGAGGCACGAATGACAGGTAAAATGGTGAACAACCTACGTAACAAACTTCTGTAAATGAATGACAACAAATGGAGTGTGAGTAATAATAGAAAAACAAATATTTCTGAGAGTTACAAACGATAGGATGTTGTAGAGAGCCATGGTTTTCTACATCCTGCGGGGATTGGTTTAGGTCTTAGGATTTTATTTTGTTTCTTTCTTTGTCATTATGTGATTGTAGGTAGCATAGAAGGAATTTGTTTTCGTGTCCTAACCAAAAAAAAATAAAGAAATTCCCCAAGCCTAAATCAAATGCTCTTTATCCCAACCACTAAACATAATCTCGCTAACATTTTACATGCGCCAGTGGCAGTGAGCACAAGGCACGAAGAAGAAGAAGAAGAAGAAGAAGAAGAAGAAGAAGAAGAAGAAGAAGAAGAAGAAGGAGGAGGAGAAGGAGAAGAAGAAGAAGAAGAAGAACGTTTCTTTTTAAACACTATTTTCATCATAAAAATATACTAATCAGAACTATTACAATAGCGATATCGTTTGTGGGATTGTCAAAAGTACAGTAACTGCTCTCCAAAACTGAGACTCTTAACATAAAATTAAAGATAATTTTCTTAGAAGTGAGTATATAATCTAGCCAGGTAACATTAAGTAGATTCAAGAAGCTGTTTGTGAAGTACTTAAGGTTGTTTAAAAAAAGGTAAGTGAATCTGTCGCCCTAAAGTTGAATTCGTTAGAAATTAGCGTAAACATTAAATGGAAAAAGTTTGTATTGCCAAATTGGATCTGGAAAGATCAGAAACGTGCCTGGAATGTTTTTCGAACAATATTCTGCTGTTAGTGTATCCAGAAGCAAAATCTGAGCATGCGCAAATTTATGTAAAAATCTTTTCATTTTCTAACTGCTATTATTTATAAAGTTTGAAAGCAAGTGTGTATGCCTGAAGCTGCGCATGGAAATACTTCTACAATAAGTCTCTGAGGTCCGGTGCAAATCTTATGGCTCGACCAAGAAGGGATTCCATAATATCAATTTGATGTTGGATCATTTCGTTAGATTTTGGGAAACTGGTCTGGCCGAAAACTTTACATAGTATGCAATTTTCGATGCAACAATTTCTCATGAAAAAATAACATTAATATAGATATTATTTTTTGATAGACGTTTATTCATAAGTTTTAAAATATATATAATGTTGTCACTATATATCAGGTTACACTCAGGTATGTGGCTCAAGATCCCCGATTCTTCCACCACCTTCGTACAACGAGTTATAATTGTAGTAACTCGAAAGGGATCTTTGACAACAGTTGCCTTCCGCTATTAACGAAGTTGTTTGCGTTGTCAAGCTCATTTCCACGGCTTTCTTGGGACCAATATACTAAAGTTAGTCTATCTCTACCCCTCACTAAAAATAGAATTAAATATCTTTTTACCGGGAAAGAGGGTTTTACATTTTTTTTTTTTTTTTTTTTTTCTTAACAGGGAAATGTTACCGATTACTTGTCAGTGAAGGAGAAAGAGGAAGTAAGAGAGAAAGCGGAAATGAGAGAGAAAGAAGAAATGAGAAAGAAAGAGAGAGAGATTTCTAATTCCTAGCAGTTTCAGGCCCGCGTTTTCCCTAAGAGGCAAGGATTCTCAATGAGGAAAAATTTAGAGAGAATCGTTTTTTTTACAAGAACACCATTCGTCTTTACCTAATTATTCAACAATTCAAGGCCGAATGAAAAGGCACTCTGTCCCGTTTTCTTCTGAGTGGTAATTGCTTTCGCCTCTCTCTTAATTATTTTTTCTTTTTCTTTTGGTGGGGATTTTCACATGTTGGTGAATGTTTTGATCTCAAGCGTAACAGATACAGTAATACCTTGAGATACCAGTTTAATCCGTTCCGTAACCGAGCTCGTATGTCAATCAGCTCATATGTCAAAAAACGTTTTTTTCCTATTTAAAATAACTGAAATAGGTTTAATCCGTTCCAACCCTGTCAAACATTCCCAAACCACCCTAAATGATGAAAAATATATTTTTAATTAAAAAACATATATATACTTTACCGATACTTAACATAAATATGAAATAAAAAACGTGTTATTTAGTACTGTATTCTTACTTTAGAGACAGACGTAAGCGGCTAATGGAGGAGGAGGAGGAGGTGATGCAGACTGTAGACATGTAAAAAATACTTCACTTTCTTAAAAATAAACAAAGTAAAACTTCACTTTCTTAACATGAAATGAACTAAAATTGCACTTTCTTAAACTAAACCTAAACTTAACATTATGCATTGTATAAATTTCTCGTTTAATCATCACTTGTTTTTGCCTTTTTGACTGGACTTTTGGCACTTTCAGTTGCAGACATTTTGAAAAAAGAACCTATCCAAAGAGGTTTGCTTTTGCTGGCTTTTTAAAATGTTACGGAAATGCGACAAACAAGTGTCATTATAAAGTGCTGCTGCAAGACCAGTTGAAACTTTTTTCTGGATGTTTCTTTTCAATGAAACTTGAAAGTTTCTTCCACACTGCCAGCATTTCTTTAATTTACCTTGTAGAAATCATTTCCTCCGCCTCTACCTCCTCCTCACTATTAATCTCTTGCAGAAACTTCGTATACTGCATCGTCTGTAGCTCCTACAACTCTTCAACTGAGAGTTCCTCCTCGTGTTTCACGATGAGCTTGTTTACGTCACCCTCATCTACCTCCAGACCCATCGACTTTCCGAGGGACACAATCTCCTTCACCGTTTCTTTCTCGGGTTCGGGTTACGAGTTCGAATCCTTCAAAGTCCCTGGGGGCAACAACATCAGGGCATAACTTTTCCCATGCCGAGTTCAAGGTTCTTCTTGTAACCTCTCGCTATGACAAGTCAATGATGTTCAAGCATGTCACTATGTTGAAATGACCTTTCCAAAATTCTCGAAGGGTAAAATTGATATTTTCTGTAAGCTCAAAGCAGAGGCGGAACAAGGGCTTCGTGTAAAGTTGATCCATGGGTTGTAAGATTGAAGTCGTGTTGGGGGGGGGGCAGGTAGAGGACTTTTACGAACTTGAACTCATCGAGGATGTCATCTTGAAGACCAGGTGGGTGGGCTGGAGCATTATCAAAGACTAGTAATGATTTCAGCGGGGGCTTTTTTTCTAAAAGATATTTCTTCACTACAGGACCAAAGATGATATTTACAAAAAGCTGCCGCGTAAACCATGCCCTAGGATTGAGCGCCATATAACTTCCAGTTTTTCTTTAAGAATCTTGTGAGTTTTAAAGGATCCAGGATTATCAGAATGGTATACCAGCAGTGGCTTTATTTTACAGTCACCGCGAGCATTTGCACACAATGCAAGGGTCAGATTGTCCTTAATGGGTTTTATGGCCTGGCAACGCCTTCGCCTCTGCGGTGATGAAAGTCATCCGTGGCATTTTCTTCCAAAACAAGCCTGTTTCATCACAGTTGAACACGGAGGATGGAATCTTCCTTTGTAACAAGTGCAGCAAAACGTGTGAATTCCTCAGCTGCTTTAACAGTTGCACCCGCAGCTTCACCATAACGCACTATCGAACGGATGCCAGTTGTCTTCTTGAAATTTTCGAACCAGTTGTGATTAACCTTAAAGGTATTTTCTGCTACCTCTTTTGATGTTAAGGGTACTTTCTCCTTCAAGTCACCATAAGTAACACACGCCTTTTCACATATCTCTGATAATGTATCTCCTATTAGCTCCTTCTCCTTCATCCACACTAGCAGAAGCTTCTCCATTTCTCCATGGATATTGGCCCTTAACTAGGGCAGAATTAGAGTTTCTTTTACTGTTGTTCCACTTTTTATAGCATCCTTTTGTTTATGGGTGATACAAATTGTAGAAATGATGTGCTAGTACTGCTTTTCCAATTCAATCATTCATACACCACTTTTATGCATTTTTTTTATTATTATTTCTTGCTATTCTTCTGTTGACATCATTCTCTTCTTCTTCTCGTTCTTTACACTCACTTTCTTTGGACTCAAAATGGTACACAAAAAAATCACTGTAATGTAATTAGAAACTAAAAAGGCACAAACACGGATAACGAACGAGATACGTCTTTACTGTACGGGTAACACGCGAGAACGAAAAGCTCGTTGTACTGATGCTTTACCCGTGCACAATGATAGCGGCAGCTTCCCGAATCACGACTCGTATCTCAGAAATTAAGTCGCATGTCAGTCAAAAAATGTATGTTAAGCTACTCGTATCTCAAGGTATCACTGTATTTAAATATTGTATTTCAGAAATATGAGGTATTTCCAACAGAATATATGAACCGTGTATTAGATTCTTCTTTCTAATTAGAAAGTGTATTCATTTTTTTTTTTAAATCATTAAACTAAGTAAACGTATAACTATAATATTTGGATACCTCGGCATGGTGTAATGATTAACAAGCTTGTTTCGTTAAAACAGTTACGACTGAATAGTGAGTTCGATCCTCACTGGGTGCCCATATTTTCGGCCTTCTGCCACATCTAAGGTACGCTTAGAAAATTATTTGGGAACCTCGAGGCGGTGTAATGGTTAGAAAGTTTGTCTCGCTAGAACAATTACGACTGTGTAGTGAGTTCAGTCCTCACCGGGAGTCTCATTCTTTCGGCCTTGTGCTGCATCTAAGCTACGCTTAGAAAATCTCTATAATATTAATTGTATTGTGGATCGTGTTTATACGTTCATTTTTAGAAGAGATTCTTTTAAACACACAACTGTCTGTATAAGAAGTAGATGTATATTGGTAAAGGCAAAATGCAAGTGAGCAAGATATTGTTGAACTCATAACCGTGCTGGACAATGTTGAAGAAGAGGAGGAAGATGATAATGTTATTGTTTAGGTTGAAGTTTAACAGCTCCATTACCCAGTTTCAAACACCGAAACAATGATTATGTTTGACAAATGTCTTAGCTGGTTTCACATTCAACCAGAAGCCACCCTGACAAATACATCTAATTTAATCCAATTTCTGGATTTAGCGGCAGAAAAACGCTACACTAGCATGAAAGAACTAAAAACTGGCGCGTTTTTCCATAAATATAAACCGGACAAAATCTTGATCAAACCGTTTGGAATTGTTATTTGATGTTATAAATATTCGATTTCTTTCAGAGAAGAACTTTTTTCTTCTTCATTCTTTTTCGATAATTTAGGTATTCAGTTATCTGGAATTGATGATCAACTTCTATCGCAAAGTAATCGAGGAAGGATTGTAAATCATTTAGTTCTTTTTTTTCCTTGATTGTCTTTCGTCCATTTTTTTTTTTTACTTTTATATGATAAATAAAGATGAAAAAAAAATTCTGAAAAGAATTCATTTTGAAAAATCAAACTAAAAAATCAATAGTAAAAAATCAATCTGTAAGTTTCAATTATTCAAAATAAAAATATGCAAAAATAGCTTTTATTTTATTTTAAACATAATCTTTTACCCCAAGCTATGGGTAAATACCAAGAAAGATCTATATCCTTAGCTG